AATCAACGCGATGCATCTGGTCTTGACCAGTTGATGCAATTGTTCCGGGATAGAACGTTTCATCAAGTGGCCAAAAAATTTCTACAGAGTCACCAACAACTGGGGTCGCAGAAAGTGTATCATCATGACCATCATCGTATTGGTCACATTCGTTGCTTGCATCAATAAGCGGAATTGTTTCCGAGTCACCATCATTTTGGACAGCAGTTATGTCCTCAATGGACTCTTCGACGCTTACAGTTATGGTATCGATTGCCTCTTGAATAGTTGAAGCAAAAGAATTCTCCTTGATAGCGGCTCGTATATCTTCAACTGCAGCAGAGACTGTACGCCCATTTTTACCGGGCACTGTTACTGTCCCGAAAGCTCTGTCGATCGAGAGAACAGTACGTGGTGTTGACCATTTTCCTCTCTTCTCATGTTGAAGTTTGATATATACTTGAACGAGGTCGCCAATATTAATCGGAATCTCAGTCAGTGATTTAGACCACAGAATGTTTGTCAGTTTGCGCTTGGCTATTAGTTTATCATGGGCATCCAATATATCGGTAGGAATGCTAGCTGGGAATGCACCGGCAGAAATCGGCTTTGTGTATCCTTTTGCCAACTCGTGAGCTGAGCAAACATCAGTGCCATGGAGATCATTCGACACACGTAATGCTTGTTGAATAACTAATTTTTGATGTTCAACAGAGCAGTCTGGAATTTAGTGTTTCAGTCGTAGATATATATCACGAATGATCTTGTGCTTAGATTTTATAACGTTTCTGTTATATCGACGTGGTGGTGTTGGATGAGCCTCAATGTCATGCTTAATCAGGAAATCTGCAAATTGAGATTTTTTGAACGCTGGGTCAAAAACGATAGCTTTTGGTACCCAAAACTGTGAGACCCATTGCGTTTCCAGGGCTTGAATAGCTGACGTCATGGACATATCAGGTACGGAATCACCGACAGAATAGCGAGCTACTGAATCCATTATGTGAAATACGCGGTGGTCGTCCAGGTGAAAGTGATCGATGCAAACAACGTCATTGAACTCGTGGCTGATAGTACTGAGCGAGACTTTGCGAGCAGCAGCTGGTTTGGAGGTTGTTGCACAAGTAGTGCACCTTTCTAAAATTCGAACAAGGTATTTTTTTGACTCTTGATTCCAAAGGCCGTTACGCTCGAGCAGCACCTTGATATCTGAAAAATTGGAATGTTCACATACATGAGTATGAACCTTGTCAATAACCTTTTTGACCTCACCCCAAGGGCGGGTTTCAGAACTATCTGTAACTGTAGCTGTTGCACAGAATATTTTGTTGGGCATAGACTGGGAACTGTTCTTTTTTCATGTAGAAAAATGCTATATGGCATGTGAAAGTGGAAAGCGACATCATAGAGGGAGATTGTGTCCGTCGACTGCGGAAGCACAATTTTGTTTTGTCCTCTATGAAGTATATCGCAGTACTTCGTCATGTTTCGATCAACTATCCATTGGGAAGAGCCTTGAATGATGAGGTGTCTTATGAAAACAGCACTTTTCTGATCAGTTTCAGCTTGTAAAACCACTGAGCCAAGAATACGCCTTGATTCACTCGAATACTGAACAGTCCCGTACTGCCATAATGGGAATTGCTGTATTTCATCTGGTAGCCTTTGAAGCTTTCCTTTCCAGTCGAGCAATCATGGGTTGCAAAAGTTTAAATTCGTCCATACTCATATCACTGTATGGTGCGCCATCGTCGAGAAGTGGTCCAACAAAAATCCGACATATAATCTGAACTGCAGCCGAGCTGCACCATGTTGAATGTAACAGTCTTTTTGTTTTGGGTCTTCTCGGGGTGTGCAGATTCATAGGACGACTTTATGCCAGGCTTGAGGGAACCATCTGAGTTGTGGTCAGATTTCCAGTGGCCAAACCTCTGGCATTCACGAAACTTTGACTTGCTTTTTAAGTCAGCAAGCTGCTCAGGTAAAATTCGCTGCTTTCCTGTCGTCGTGCGGTTGAATACATTTTTGAATGCATTTTTGTTACCATTCGTAGCACTCAAGGCAGATATCGTAGTACTAGATGACGCTATATCAGAGGATCTCGTTTGTTCAAACTGTCTCAAAACGGAGGCAACAGTTGAATAGGAAACTGCATCCAGGAATTGATCTGTTGTAGCATTTTCTGAAATAGTTTCTTCAGTTGGAGAAGCTGCAGCAAGTAGCAGCAAGTATAGAAACACGTTGGCTTAAATCTAAAGCAGAATTTACCAGTAGCATAAATGCTGTGAGTGCGTCAGGTAGCTTTGTAGTCGTCGAACTCGCATTAAACTTGGATATTTACCCATCAAAACGAGACTCATAATTATGAATGTCTCCGTCGGACCTCGCCTGGTGTTGAGGACGGTGATAAAGTTTTCATACACTTCGCTAACAACAGTCAGCGCATCTCGTTTTCAAATAGCCTTGAAAATGGCTTCGGCGCCATCTTCAGACTTAATAACGGAATCAGGAACTCCTTTGCAGAGGTCACGAGCTCTGCCGTAAAGTTGGTATTGTGGCATTATCCCCCGTAGACTGATTGGTATCTTGTTTGAGTTCGAGTCCGATAACATATCATGAAAGGCGTTCCACAGAGAAACAGAATCACTGTATTCTTCTTGATGGCCTTTTCCATCGGTCCAGGGCACATTTTTAATGTCCCAGGAGTAGCGGGGTCGATTTGGTAGCGAAACCGAACCGGGCGTGGGGCCCATAACTACGAGGAGAACGGTTTAACAACAGAATTAGTTTAGTTGAACTGTGGAGCAAGGTAGCAGTTGGTAACCAGATGACTCTCTGATCAAGGTAAGAGTTGCACTGTACTCATAGGCAACTAAAGATAGACAAGGGTCTGTTAACGACCGCTGAACAAAAACAAAACGTAGTGAAATAATTACGAAGCAACTGCGCACGAGAGAGGTATTCAAATATGAACACAGACTGTTTACGAGACAGGTATTTGAATATGAACATAAAATGTTCAGGACTCTGATGGTGAAATGATGTACAAGAGATAAGACTGCACAAGTTTCACAGTGGCATCTCCGCGCACCTCCCTCCGTTATCTTCCACGTCACGGTTTTTTTAGATTTTTTTTACCGTGCACCCTCCCTTCGAAAGTACATAAGTGTCGGGTTGGCTTCGACCAGCGAAGGTCGGACTACGAACACAAACCCCAGAAATATTTGAGCAGCTGCACGCACCTACATGGCTCGGACGTCGAGTCAGTAAACACAAATACCGGACGTCGGTATTTTGCTGGTCATATACAGTATTTCAGAGTACAGTATCTACAAAGCTGGGCCCCCTGTGATTTTTTTCAGGATGCGCCGTAGCAACGTGTACTGTACAGAGATAGAACAGATTAGTAAGGCACGTCGCACGGCTTTCTAACAACCAATCCAGATGCGTCAACGCTACTGCAAAGGGTAGCGTTGATGCTTCGTAATGGGGAGTTCTCCAAGAATTTTTCCACCTCAATTTTCCGTTTTTAAGCGATTTCATTGGCATTCCTTTCTGACGTCTATTCGTGCAAACAGCAACAAGATCTTGGCCAACCTCTTGTGATCTGCGCTCTGTTGACCAATTTCAAAACTCGGCCCTGAAGCCAACGGCTGAAAGTGAACTCTATTTTGTCCCACTCTGACGTTACAAAAGATGAGGTCATCCGTTCAGTTCGTCTGACCGAGGTCGCAACAATCACATGACACACAGCATCGAAAGCGCGGGACGGACACCCAGACCTGCCATCACAAGCGTTCGTGCTATTCATCCATTCAAACTTAATAATTGAGCAGGCTGAGGTTGATTTCGATTTGCTTTTTTCTTCGCATTATGGAAAAAGCTCTGGAAGTTCCGGCGGAGCAGCTATGCAAAACAGCGGAGGCCTTTGGAGAGCGAATGAAAATTCCTGTCCAAACATTCCGCGCGGTTGTGAAAGCGGCCTGCGAGATCGAAACTGCCTCGCCTCGCACCCGATCACTTGTGCCTCCTCTGGAAGACCATCTTGACTCCCTCGACGAGCTCTCGTCCGCACTTCAAGAAACTGATGTCTTGTATCACCAACTGTGCCTTTTGTCAACCACCGCTGATGCTTTGGTTTGGGTATCTACCGAAAGTCCGCAAGAATGTGTCGAAGACGCCAGTGAAAAGGCGAAAGCGAAGCTTGTGAAGCTGCGAGAAATGCACCATCCGAGCCACGCTGCATATGCAGACGCCGTAACAGATTTTTTACGCGCGGTCGAGGAATATGTCGCTGACAAGGTCGCTGCCCCCCTCGTATTTGAAGACTAAATTTCAAGGCATTGCGATTCGTCTCGCGCTTTGTCGGTCTCAAGTCGTTTAGCAAACTAACTGGGGTCATTGAATGTCCGTCTCGGCAACAAGTGAGTCAGTAGTTGACGTGCTGGCTGGTCAAAAGGCCAGCTCAGACTGCTTATCCGATTCACCACATTTCAAGAGAGGAATTGTATCGACAAGTTGGTACAGTATATTCACTGCAATCGCATGCTTGATCATGGGCTACCCTATATTTTTTCTTCTTCATTTCGGTGTTCGGGGTTTCAGCTCATGTCCGGATATCATGCGATCTGAAGCTCACCCCAATGCCCTAAAGTGAAAATCTACCAGACCTAACAAATCAATTCGTTCTCAGGCCGTGTTTGCGCCTATAAATGCTAGACTTGTTCGCGATTGCAATGGGAAGTATGCTGGGAGAGCCGCCTGGCCTATTGAAGAATTGGTGTACGAAGACGAAGAAGTCCTTTATATGATGGCGTGAGTTCACAACTGTGGTTCCCTTTAGCTTCCCGCCGCAACACCTTGGATAGATACACTATCACCTGTAACAGTGAGAGGACGATAGTGTCTTTGGTCCGCTTTCATTCAGACTGCGGAATTAGAGAATAAACTTGCAAGGTTGTACGCAAACATGGGCAATATCCCAGAACCGGAGGGGGCCTCCAATCTGCCCACATTTGCGGTTTGTAGTAATTAAGTTTATCGTGACAAGACAAAGCGACAACAAATTAGACACGACCAGGTCGCGATTATCTTACGTAAGGGCTGGGAAACTTTGACCCAGGCGTATGAGACTTCTGTATCAACATTATACCTTGTCAGGCATCGGCAGTTTCATGCTGAAGCACTTAGAGGAAGCCTTATCAGAATGCACTTGAGCGAGAGCGTAGCATATTCGACAATTAGAATGCCACGGAACCTTGTTTGAAACGGGTAGGTATCCTACGGTTTCTTGCAGTTCCACTCGAGTTTCTGCGTATGATACTGCTTCACATAAGCTTTCAAGTCAGCGAAAAGTATTTCTAGAGAAGAGGCCCATTCCCGATGAGCATCCGGGTTCTCACTTTTCCTCGCTCCCATCTTCACCTTGTCCAGAAAGAACTGCCCAGCTCCAGCCATGTCTCCGACAAAGCTTGTCGCCTTTTCATCTACCGCAACCCATCCAAGTGCAGCTACTGATTCTGCCACAGCGTTGCAATGATGTACCAATGGCCCATGGGGGTCTGTTTTCTCTACAACTTCGCCAACACGACCCATTTTTGAGGCGATCGGGGCTAGCATGCCTTGAATATCGTCAGGTTTAGGCATGGCGATTGCTTTTTCTAGAAAGTCTGACTCAGCATTCCATGCGCCAGCAAAATGCTCGGCTTGCTCAAAGACTTCTGAACCAATCGTCTTTGAGGCCGCTACAAATCTCGATAAAGAACCTTCTACTATCTCTTTGAAAGCTGTGACATAATCAGGGCTTGAATTACTCTTACCAACTTCATCCACAACCGCGGACTTCGTCTTAGGCGTGATCGCCTTTGGGGGATTCCATACTAGCTTTTGGGTGTGATACTCCTTCACATATGTTTTCAGTTCAGAAAACAGAACCTCTAGGGCCTTCGCCCAATTGCGGTGCGCCTCTGGATTTCCAGAACCCTTCGCGCCCATTTTGACCTTGTCAAGGAAGAATTGGCCAGCCCCCGCCATATCTCCCACGAAGCTTGTGGCTTTTTCATCAACCGCTACCCATCCAAGTGCGGCAACTGACTCTGCAACAGCATTGCAATGATGCGCTGTCGGGCCGCGGGGATCCCCTTTTTCGACAATGGAACCAACCTCCCCCATTTTCGTCGCAATAGGAGCGAGCAAGTCTTGAATATCGTCTGGCTTAGGCATTGTGATAGCTTTTTCGAGGAATTGGGCTTCTGCCTCCCACGCGCTTGCAAACGCCTTTGCCTGATTTGAAACGTCTCCTCCGATTACCTCGGATAGTTTGACGAAAGTCGCAAGAGGCCCACTGAGCAATGCTTTGAAAGCCGAAACGTAGTCAATGCCAGTAGAAGCACTATCATCTCCTTGCGCAGGTGGCGCTCTCTTTGACGATCCGGTGACCCTAGGCGGATTCCATACCAACTTTTGTGTGTGATGCTCCTTAACGTAAGCCTTTAGATCTACAAACACAGTTTCCAATGCCTTAGCCCATTCGCGGTGCACATCTGGATTCTGAGTCTTCTTCGCTCCCATTTTCACTTTGTCCATGAAAAACTGACCGGCACCGGCCATGTCACCAACGTAGGATGTGGCCTTCTCATCTACAGCCACCCAACCGAGGGCAGCTACTGACTCTCCCACCGCGTTGCAATGTTGTGCCAGAGAACCCCGGGGATCCACCTTGTTTGCCACAGCGGATACCTCACCCATTTTTGAGGCAATAGGAGTCAGCATGTCCTGGAAATCATCCGGCTTCGGTGTTTTGTATGCTTTTGCTAGAAACTCGGCTTCTGCCTTCCATGCAGCAGCAAAAGCTGTTGCTTGCTCCGCAATCTCGCCCCCTATTTTGTTTGAAGCCTCAACAAAAGCGGATAGGGGTCCATCGATGATTACTTGGAAAGCAGTCACATAGTCAGACCCCGCGTCCTCAATGTCATCCTCGGCGCAGGCGAGAGGGTTAAGTGCTGCTCTCACCGCTCTTGGAGGGTTCCAAACTAGCTTCTGGGTGTGGTATTCCTTGACATAGGCCTTCAGCTCCGCAAACAAAGTCTGCAGACTATTTGCCCAATCCCTGTGAGCATTTGGCTTGTCAGTCTTCTTGGCACCCATTTTCACTTTGTCAATAAAAAACTGACCGGCACCGGCCATATCGCCTACATAAGATGTTGCCTTCTCGTCTACGGCCACCCAGCCGAGAGCCGCAACGGACTCCCCCAGTGCATTGCAGTGGGGCGCAAGAGGTCCACGAGGATCAACTTCTTCGACTACAGCTGCCACTTCACCCATCGCGGTTGCGATTGGGGCGAGGAAATTTTGGATATCGTCCGGTTTCGGTGTCTTAACGGCCACTTGCAGAAACTTGTGCTCTTCCTGCCACGCTTTGGTAAATGCGGCGGCCTGTTTCTGGACCTCGCCGCCCAGATTATTGGAAGCGATGACAAACGCTGCAAGGGGCCCATCAATCAATGCTTTGAATGCGGTGGCGTACGTGTCTTCTCCCCCATAGGAGTCCTCGTTTGCTGAAACTGGGGAACTAGATGTTTCGATAGTGCGTGTGCTCGTGATGGTGGCATTTGCGAGAGCCGCGTCAATCGGTGCAGTGGATGACTGGGACGGCGTAGCGCTGCGGACGTGACCCCCGGTGGGACCCGTTGCAGCCGTTGGGGAAGTAGTTGGTGTGCGAGCTGTCGGGGCGCCATCAGCGTATACCAGGGGGCCAGGTACATTGGATTCGACATACAGCTTGATCTTATCAAGAAAGTTCTCGACGCTATCAGCGAAGGCGGTTTGACTGGGATGATTTCTCTGTCTGAGAATGGGGAGCTCTTTGGCGGCTCTTTCCCTGGCATCGTCCACACATTCACTAGGGTTTCCTCCAAAAACCCACGCAAGAGCATCCGCAGCGATGGATAAAAGGGATAGTTGATTGTATAGGATATCAGATTGTGTCACGGCGGAGGCTTGCTCATCCAATGCATCCAGATGATCTTCCAGAGACTGAGCTAATACCCTAGTACGTGGAGACGCACTCTCAATTTCCGCTGCTGCTTTCAACGCGGAGCGGAAAGTTTCCAATGGCGCGTTCATGCGTGGGCCGAAGGCTTCCGCCGAAGTGGCTAGAGCCATAACTGGGCGCGCAAGAGACAATTCCATCACGAACTCCGCGGCAGTGATGGGCCGTCAGTCAAAGTCAAGGGTATAAAAAAGGGATGGCTTGTTGTGGAACGACGATGAGTCTCGTAGACCTGGACGCAGACCTGGACGCAGATCTGGACGCAGATGTGATAAATGGCGGAGATCTGTCACAGTAGAAGCGGAACGACGGGATTCGGTGTCGGGGATTTGAGAGAGGGCTCTCTCTCTCCACTTTTGCATTTGGCATGGCTTCCTGCTGGAAATCCCAAAAAAGTGACGGTTTCGGTCACCAGCGGGTGCATCGGTGTCTAGTGTCGACGTCTGTCCACGTCAGCTTAGCACCGATCCGTTGGAAGCGGTGTCCATCCATCGTTGTACACGTGTAGCAGTCGTCATCCCGTTGTTGTTCACGCTGTACAGGTGTCCCACGCAGGTGTACAAAACGCCACGTGTTGTTGTTGACTGGCAGAAAGTATCGAAACTGACACAAAGAACCAACCAAGCAGATTCGAGCGGAATGGTCAGTGCTGCTGTAGCCAATTGAAATCCAGAAAAGTTCTGTAAATAAATACGTGGTACGTACAATACTGTACTGCAGTTGCTCGTGTACAGTAAATCAATAGCAATGCAGTACAGTATGTACCCTTCGAAGGGTACAGTAGCAGGCAGATGCGGAGGGCCGCTGCGTGATGTGATTGCACAGCTCACGCAACGCTTGCGCGCATCGAGCAACCCTACAGTAAACTTTACCCTTGGGTACCGTTACCCTTGGTACAGTATGTAAAGTTCTGCAGCACAGATGGCTGGCTTCTCTTGTGTTGCGCCCAGATTTTTCTCCCAGAACAAAGAGGAGCCATCAAGTGTGACTGAGGGACAAGAACGAGCGAGAGCAGGTGGTATGAAAAGGCATATGCATCCAGAGCAGCTGAGATAGAGACGCATTCTTGGTGCCGCCAATCGCATTTCATCAACAGAAGAGCAGCTCGTATCCAACAATTGGACTCAAAACGGATGGAGCGTGTAGAGCGTCGAGCGACGCAAAGAAGATGCAAAATAGAGCCCACATAGATGCGAGAAACCTACATCATGGCTCTGCTCGGCCCGACATCTGAATTTTGTTGATGTCAGCCTTGGCCCTCCTCTCCCTCATGCCCAGCTTTCCATCGTCCTCTTTTTCTGTGCCTAACGCAATACGAGCAGTTCCCTCTCTCTTGTGTGCACCATTCTTCTCTCATAGTTTGCGGTTGGAAACAGTTTCGATGAATGCCGTATCCTCGTCCTGTCCGCAAAACCTAGTTGGCCTAGCCATTCAAGTGGTCATCAATAACCATCTCTTTATCAATACCTAACACAACCTGACTGATATCTAGGCCACCAGTAGAACATCGCCGTGAGCTGTGTGGAACCCTACCACACCAAACAAACATCCGATGGTCAGAGAAGCTACTCGAAAGTAAATCATTTTGACGCATATGCACATTCCGCCAATTTTCCACCCACTTTATCATAGGATCACGATAGTCCTCTCATCCGGACGCATGGTAATGCCCTAGACGATAAATGCAAACTGTCTATGTGGCCCTCCGCGCGGTTCTCACTTTCCTATGCGCAGCTCGTATTGGCCATAGTTTACAAGAACCCTGCGTTGATGCTTCCCTCGTGTTAACTTGTCTGCGAGATGCAAGGAAGGCAAGATCAGAAGAGGATAAAAGAGGGGACAAAGTCTCCTCACTGCCCTGCCCCCGATTAGATAGACAGACAATCGCTACCATATTCTTCCCCTCATTTCGTTTCAAAATACCTCTGTGCTCATCAATGAACATCTTTGCTTTTCAAGCCCCGTTCTCCCTGCTTTCTGGTCGCCCCCAGTTAGCATCAACTGTCTGTGGCACATCATCCTCAGGATCTTTAATCTCATCGTTCCCTGGATCACCAGTCGTCCCACTTCGGTACAACCAAAGGGCTTCCAAGGACTTGATTTCTTTTTCTTCACCCAAGAAATTTTCTAGGACCACTGTGTCGGCCTCTGCTTCGAAATATGCTGCCGAGCGTGCTGCTGCTGTCTCAGCTGTTGGTATGACGTCTACTCTCTCCAGAAAATTACAAGAGAATTTCGATGAGGCTCTAGTCGTCATCAAAGACGATGCTTCTCCGGTGACTGTCGCAGACTTCGCCGTCCAGGCTCTCATCGTCTCCCGTCTCCATGAACAGTTCCCCGAGGACAACTTCATTGCTGAAGAGTTTGTGCTGGACTTGCGCAAAGACATGGCCTTGTTCCGAGCCGTTTGTGACGCCACAGGTATGGATGAGGAAGCTCTTGTCAAAATTATCGACCTCTGTGATTTCACAGGCGCGGATGACTCCAGGACCTGGATACTTGATCCCAATGATGGTACAAGGGGCTTTGTGAAGATGCGTCATTACTGTATCGCCCTTGGTCTGATGGAGGGTGGCGTCATGAGGGTCGGAGTTCTGGGATGCCCTAATTTGCCCGTTTCTGGAATTGTTGCCGATGTCGGTTCGCAGCTCGGATCTATCTTCCATGCTGAACAAGGTCAAGGGGCATACATGATCGCTGAGAAGGATATCGATACATCTTCAGTTGATCCCAGTGTCGTTCTCAAGGGCAAGCGTTGCAATGTCTCCGACGTCACTGATCCTTCAAAGGCTGACTTCTGTGAGTCATTCGAGGCTCGTCACTCGTCACATTCGCTCTCTACGAAGATTGCTGAAATTCTGAACATGAATGGAGCCCCGTACCGTTTGGACTCTCAAGCTAAGTATGGATGCATTGCTCGAGGTGACGTGAGCATCTTCTTGAGATTCCCCCGTGAGGGGTATGTCGAGAAAGTATATGACAGTGCCCCCGCTGTGATTGTAGTAGAAGAGGCCGGCGGGCGTGTCACGGATGGCCGTGGCCAACCTCTCGACTTTAGCAAGGGGAGATACATGGACAATGATGATGGTATTGTTGCTACAAATGGTGTCATGCATGACACAATCATCGAGGCTGTTCAGGCAGCTATCAAACAGAAGGCCGCTGTGTGAAGGTGCGGATTCTGGCCAGAGATCAATAGGAAGGAAAGGGCTATTTGCCCTCTCTCAAGTATGCTTTCGCCAGAAGCCATGCTCATGAATTTACAGTTGAATGTAGGGTTACTACGACATCGAAGGTATCTACAAAACCACGAACAATGCATAAGGAATGCAATCTGCAGAATAGAATCGATAAAATTGATTTTTCATGAAGTAGTCTTATTTGCGATACAGTTCGATGCTGTTCTCGAAAGTGAAACGGCGCAGAAGAGGATGGAGGGCAAACGTAGAAAGTACCGCGAATTGCTGAAAAAGATTGGTTGGAAGACGGCACATACGAATCTTGTTCATGAGTGATCTTACAGAGTAGGAAAAGTGGAGATGCTTTGAAAAAGTATTGTAGAGATGACGCCGGGGATGAACCCAATGTAACCCTTGAGAATGGCTGAAGTACTGTATCGTGAGGCAGTAGCATGATTAGTAGCGTCGTTCAAACAGCTTTAAACTAAACTTGCTGCGTTCCAACTAGTGAAAGCTGGGAGCCTGTATGAGAGAAGTGGTTGTTTCTTCGTCCCAGAATCACTGAATTAGATACAGATACACGTACATAGGTACAGTAGATGCACAGCGGTGGAAAATGAGCTCATGGGCACACTTTCCAACTTTCTCTCTCAAACTTGAGATGCGGGCCAAGGATCTTTCCCAGCAAGATACAGTACCCTTGTACCTTAGGTACTGTACCTTCTTGATAGCCAATCATGTCGACGTATATGCCTCTTGTTCCATGTCCTCCTTTCGCACAAATTCGAACACATTTGTGCCGCACGACACCAGCGCAAGTCTCTGGAATCTAGGGTGTGTCTAACCCCCTCCGACTCATGAGCAGTCACAGTCGTCACTGAAGACATTTGCGAAGTCTCTAGCAGAGTCCATGGACACAGTACCTTTTTTCCGACCGTCTGCACCACAACCATTCACTCTGTGGGGCATTTATTTCTCCTCCACCCCTAACGGCCTGCGTGTCTGCCCAGATGCGCCCATCACCGCCCACGCCAACTTCCCTGCATCTTGTCACAATGCCTCCATCTGGCCTTTTTCCTAATTTACTCGCCTACCAGGTCCGTTTCGCTCTCTCCATCCGCTCTCGCCCACTCCATTCGAATTTTTGTCCAACGTCATGGCCCGTCGTGTCACCCCCATCCTGCCCCGGTTCCCGTCGTTCACCCATCGCCCCAGTCCGTTATAACCGCTATCTTCCCAACCACTCCTCCATACCCCCGTCTCCTTTCCATCCATCCTATACTTCCAAGCGCTTCTCAACTACTATGGTCTCTCCTTCCGCCTCCAAGTATAGTGCTGAGCGCGCTGCAGCCGTGACCTCTGTCGCATTAGCATCCGCACTCGCTCGCCGTCTACAGCATGCCCTTTCCGGCTCCAAAGCTGTTGCAAAAGCTGACGCTTCTCCGGTAACTGTTGCCGACTTCGCTGTGCAGGCAGTCATCGTGTCTCATCTCCATTCACGCTTTCCAAATGACCGTTTTATCGCTGAAGAGTCTACACCAGCTTTGCGGAAAGACCCTGCTTTGCTACGAGCCGTGTGTGACGCCGCTGACATGGATGAATCGCACCTTCTAAAGATCATTGACCTTTGCGACCACGAGGGTGGCGATGGCGCCAGGACCTGGATTCTTGACCCCATCGACGGAACAAAGGGTTTCATTGCTATGCGACAATATTGCATTGCTCTTGGTTTAATTGACGGTGGCGTCGCGAGGGTCGGCGTTCTCGGATGTCCCAATTTACCGCTCACAGGAATGGAGGCTCCCGACACAGGCTCAGATATCGGGTGTATATTCCATGCAGAACAAGGTGAGGGGACGTGGATGCTTGCGGAAGGAGACGTTGATACATCCACAAAATCGACAACTGCAACAGTTGGAGGAAAGCGGTGTGTGGTTAGCAAGGTTGCCGAGCCTTCATGGACAGAATTTTGTGAGTCAGTGGAGAGAGGTCACTCTTCGCACGAGCTTTCGGCAAGAGTTGCCGAGATTTTGAAGGTTACCGCCCCTCCCGTGCGCATGGACTCTCAGGCGAAGTATGGATGCATGGCCCGCGGTGACGTAAGCATCTTTTTGAGATTCCCCCGTGACGGATACGTAGAGAACGTCTGGGACAGCGCTCCAGCCGCCATTATCGTCGAGGAGGCTGGCGGACGTGTGACCGACGGAAGAGGGCGCCCTCTCAACTTCAACCTGGGGCGCAAGTTGGACAATGATGATGGTATCGTCGCTACCAATGGCTATATGCATGATGCTATCATCGCGGCAGTGCAGATGGCTGTAAAGGAACAAGTTCACGTCTGAGCGGTGTCAGATTTGTGTGGAGTATCTTCTGGTTCTAGGGTTTGCTCCACGGGAAAAGTCGGTATACTGTGAGATGTTGTCATTGCTGAGGACAGCTCCGTTATCTTTGCGCTTTCTTTCCGCCAATTGTCTTTCCTTGCAGGACTATTTTGTTGTGTACAGCGTACAATACTACGATAAATGAGACTAACCGCGCCTATTCTTTGTCCTTCGACTCAACAATGAATTTAGAGGGCGAAAATCTTCTTTCGTTTTGATGGAAATAGTAGAGTGACAGCTCAATACGCTTGCGCATTTTCGCAGCCTGATCCAGTTTGAGCTCAAGGTCTTTTGTAGAAGAACCTCGGGGCTTTTAGGAGTGCCCTTGGGTACTGTATATTCTAAAGTGACGGAAAAGCGTGCTCAGCGCATATAAGAAAGAAAAACAAAACCACGATTTTTGCATCTGTTTGAGGCGATATCGCTCTGTAGAGTGGATCTGCTGCATTACTGTACAGCAATCACCCTCATGATCTCAAAGTTTTTCAAACGAGCTTCAACTGACCGCCTTTAGGTTCTCCATCGCACATCCGCTGTGCTCTCGGCACCACACACTCCATTTGCCATTCGCCCTGCGCATGTTCTTCCGCTAAATAGGCAACGGGGCACCAGGTCGTTGATGATGATCACATCTGCGTTCTTGCCGCCCACAGCCCTGCAACTCCGTTCGCGCAAGGAGCTTGTGAGTGTGGCCAAAAGTGAAGCAAAGCCAAAATTTCAGAAGAGGACAAAACAGCGCCGTTGTGTCATTGTAGCCGCGAACGGCCAAGGCGGTTTTGGGGGCTTCCTCGGGAATAATTTTCCGAATCCCAACACCCGAGACTCGCTTCCCAATTCGGATGCGCAATGCGCGTGTGGAAGCGAAAGGCCATACAGCAAATGTTGCCGACGGTTTCACACGGCGCAGAGCTCACCCCCGATGGCTGAAGATCTTCTCCGGTCAAGATATAGCGCGTATGCTTATCGCTTGCCCAGCTACATCATGAAGACGACGCACCCCAGTCTGGCAGAACTTGACAGGCGTGTATGGAAGAAAGAGATTCTCGAGTTTTGCAGAGAATACAAATTTGTGGGGGGTGTTGATATCATTGAGAAGCAGATGACAGGGCCGTACACAACCCGTATTTTATTTCGGTAAGAACTTTGCGTTGGTTAGAACGATGTAATGCCGGAGCGTGTGTTACCACAAAAATTCTGACAGGAAGCTTTCTCGACGTTTGTTTTAATGCTTTTATGCGAAAGTGCTAATCTAGTAGAGCAAAGATCACCAATCTCGTTTCTTGAGATGTCCACATTTGTGAGGGAAAGGAATGTGTGGTATTATAAAAATGGCAAGCTTGTGGATGTAGAGGACGACAATTGAAGACCTGTAATATCATTGCCGGATGCCACTTGATAAAGCATTCGTACGTGAACTGCAGTGTTCTACAGTCGCCTTGCTCTCCTCTGCTGGACGAGACATCCCTGAGGGCTCTCTAGCTAGTCTTTGCTGCTTGACTTTCTTGCTATGTGTTACCTTTTGGAGGTTTTTTGTATGATTACCATGTCATGGCAAGACACTGAACAGTAGCCCATCGTGCCATTCTTCCAAACTCGTACTGCACCTCCGGTGGATTTGGGACTCCATACCGATTTTTTTAAATTAATAATAACAGTAATCATATTCTTCTCTGTGGTATCCTTTGTAAGTCGCCGATATCCGCTCGGATACTGGCCGCCCGAGCATGATAGACGTGAACTGGCTAAGCGCTTGCACTAACGTCAGCAGTTGTAAAACGGTTTGCGCAGAGGGCGAACTGCGTAGCGTTAGACATGCTGCGACATGAATGTCGTTTTGAGCGGGACCAGCGCCTCCTGTATCGTAAAATGCCCCTGGCAGTCTCCCTCAAAAAGAATAGCCTGGTACGCAAGGATCCAACTTTCACAGAGATCACAGAAGCGTCAGTTGGGGAAAGCAAAGCGGAAAGCGTCTTGCTGCTGTGTTTGTGCAACTGTTTGGAGTCCTGCTTCACCTCATAATTCGATCACATCGAAAGCCTTTGAGAGGCAATATGTTTCAGACTGCGTTGTTGGCGGATCTATCGGACCGGGGCGTGTGATAGCAATTAATGATGCCATCGATGAAGCAAGTTTTGTCGAGTATACGTGGCTTCTAGTTGCTGTGCTAACGCAAGATGGAAGCAGTAAGATAGCTTTGCTGCGTTTCGAAGAAGATGGGATCAAACTACGCAAACTGTTCTCTTCCTTAAGTTCCCCTTGTGATGGTATTGTCCTTCGAGGTCCTCACGTATTGTACACAAATTCAAATGGTGTCGCATTGGAGGGCGACAGTGACAAGATTGCACTTAACGCCTTTGCTGATGGAAAGGCTGCGTCTACTGAAGGTGAGGTTTTTCTTTGCCGGGTCGAAGCCGATACGGAGGCGGTGGTAGCTAGACGGTTCGAACGTGTTGGTTTGACGGGCTTGCTCAAATTGTACACCGTCCATTCTTCCGGTCTTTGCCACGAGATTAAGACCTTCGAGATGGAGAGCATTGCCTCTGTGAAGAGAACGTTTCTTTGTTTGCGTCAAAGTGCTTTAATCATCGCTGAAGGTGACGGAAGTCTGCGCTCTTTTGATAGCAATTCAGGTGACATACTCTGGAAGAGCCCATCTAAGAAAGAGCTGGAGAACCCTCTTTATTTGACGTGCTCAGACGAAACGCTCGTAATGACGTCTTCTGTGTCTGAGGCTGTTTGGTCCATGCCCATATGCATGGCTTTCTATCAGAAAGGGTCGACGAACCGCGCTTCAATTCTGTTTCCAGAATCATGCAATATGGCGGCACAAGATGAAACGCACGGCCACTTCTTCGCACCATGGAGAGGTTCCATACTTCAGGTAAGCAACGACAACGGTGCATACTGTTTTGAGAAGGACTTTTCACAGCTGCGGACCCAAAACAGTCTGGTCCCAGTTCCAGAGAGTGAGACTCGTTTCTCATCAGCGGTGAGTCGAAATTTGGAAAAGCGACTAGGCGCTGGCGTCGAACGGGTTACTGATGCAGCTCAACGACAGGAAGAGAAGATTGAAATTCTTAATCACCTTCGATCGCTACTCGCAGAAGTGGCTGGGCAGAGATCAAGAACGTCTTTCCCGAAAAAGTTCCATGAAGGCCTCGAAAGTGCCATCATCCTCAACAAGGCACGCGAGTCACACCCGAGAGACAATATGGATAAAACCGCGTCTGTTAATGATCAGGGCGATCCGTCAGCACGCGTTTTTGTTGGCTGCAATCCCACGCCCTTCAACACAGCGCGTTTCTTAGACCTTGTCGAGTCACAGACCGGGGTAGATAAGTCCAGCCGCTTCGTCCTGATTCAAGTTTGCGTCGCTGTGTCAAAACAGGCTACGAGTATTGACGAAGCGCATTCATCTGCTTTTTCGCTTCAATTGAACATTCAATTTGATCGATGCATGGCAGCGATCTGGGACCTTGAAAAAAGGAACCATGTACATGAAGGGGACGTTGTATGGCTAAAGGCATGTGCTCCAATATCAGCAATCGTTGCCAATAGCGTATCTAGCATGGAGTGCATCCGGGTGATCGTACGTGTGGATACTGACGATGGTCGTTCCCAGTACTTGGGCACTTTCTCTTTATCAGCTGTCTTGTCGTCAGTCGTTCCCTCAGAGAAAAGCAAGGCTATGGGAGTTGATAAAGGCTTGTTGAATTTCGAGAGAACCATTCATGCCGTTGCACAGGGGCCCTCGGCGCAGAACTTGCAAAATTTGTTACAGGATGAAGGAAACAGACCTTTTGATGTCAAGGTCCTTCAGAAGCTGGCGCATGTGCGCTTCCAGGCTTCCTCAAACATCGAATTGGCCTTAGCCATTGCCAAAATTAGAGCATCCGTGGATGATCGGGTTAGTTTGAGAAGTTCTTCAGAGCTATCCATTGATTCACTTCAAATTCTTGACTCTAGTCTAAGATGCATTGAAAAAGAGATGCAGAGCTTGCGCGACATGGCTAGACAGCGAGGTGCCATTGGCTATGATGTTAACCAGATCAGTGATTTGCTGAGGCTGCAACTCGAGGTGGATGAGTCATTTGGTCGTTGTGGCGAAATATTTGCTGGCTTATGATCAACTCGCCACTTTCTTGACTGCTGCAGAAGTGGATAACGAGCGACCCATGGCACAGACACGCAGTTATCTTTCCCGGATCTCCAGCACAGTAGCTGAACACAACCAAGTTACTTGAGATTATTACCGCATAAGCTCACAACTTGCTGTGTAGTCGGGATGCGGAGGCCCCTCTCCATCTTTTCTGCTCCTTGGTATTTACAGGTGTCCGCTACTTTGCAACTTTTGCTCTTTTGGAAGGAGGTGGTGCAGAAGTCAGTGACGGTGCAGCAGACTGGGGAATAGACCTCGTCATTGGGGTTTGCCCTGGTACGGCAAGTGCAAAAGACATAGAAGGAGCAGGAAAATGGTAAGCCTCCTCTGACAATTCTAATCTAAACACGTCTTTTTGATACTTTCCTACGCTCATGGGATGAGGGCACCGCACCATTTGATCCTGAGGCTGTGGCACTCATGGCCCAGCCGATGTCCTTCTTCGGGTCTAGTGGAGTCACCGGACGAGACTTGTATGGGTCAACATTTGGATCTATGAAGGCCACTCGTTGCGGTCGGGGTTCCTCCTGAACGCGCGGGGGATGGGAAGAAATGACGATGACGGCAACGAAGCCATGGTTAGTCTACATTCCCAAATGCTGCTGTAACATTGGGAGTACCATTAACATAGAAATGGCAAACCCGGAACATCTGAATGACAATCATGGCGAGCAATTTCGTGAAGAATCATGAACTTACCTGGAAGAAAGGATGACGCAGTGCATTTTCCGCAGTGATGCGCTTGTTGGGGTCGTACTCAAGCAGCTTCGAAAGAAGATCGTAGCCTGCTGAATTCTTGGGTAAGCCTCGAATTCGTTCATGAAGAACACACGGATAGGCTTGCCAGGACTGGGCATGAGTCCAGTTCGGTAAATCGGCTGCTCCAGGCCATTGTTCTAGAGTTGGCTTGCCGAGAATTCTGAATATTTTGTCTATTTGGTCAGCTTGGAATGGGTTTCTGTCATCACCTTTGCGTTCTTTTTCTTGTCCTTGGAAGAGTGGTTTGGAGGTAATGAGTTCGGCGAAAATACACCCAATCGCCCATAAGTCTATTGCTTTCGTGTAATGCTTTGCGCCCAATAATAGCTCTGGGGCTCGATACCAGATAGTAACGACTACAGCATCGACGTCGGTCAATGGGCGCAGCGGAGCTTGGAACAAGCGAGCGAGTCCGAAATCCGCGATTTTCACGCATCCGCGCTCATTCGGTGGCTTATCCTGACCGGTTACAAGGATATTGGAAGGTTTCAAGTCACGATGAATAATCCAATTCTTATGAAGGTAGTTCATGCCATGCAAAATTTGCCACAACAAACTCTTGACGGTAGGCATCTGCATGGGCTGTGAAGCGCGGTTGTGGTGCCATCGGATCATTTCGAGAAGGTCGTGCTCAGCGTAGTCGAAAACAAGGTACAAAGCCTTGTCCGCTTCGTCTAGCATGACATCGACCAAGTCGACGATGTAGCGATTTTTCAGCTCGCGCAGGAGTTTGATTTCTCGGATCGCTGTTGGAGAAATGCCATCGCCACTTTTGAAGCTCTTGAACCTTTTCACTGCAACAAACGATTCTGCTCTGCTGCTCGGGTCTCCGACAGCACTGCCCGGAGACGACTGCACATGGCGCGCCTTGTATACCAAACCGTATGTACCTTCACCAATTTTTCCGACCGAAGCATACTTTTCCGAAATGCGCCTATGTTAGAAGAGACACAGAGAAGAAAATAAAACCGTCATAAAGTTAGTCGCTCCTTTCCAAGGGCCAACTAGAATGGCTCATAGTTGGATAGCTCATTAAGGGTAACCATTCGAACTTCCCGGCTGTTGTAGATTCCCAGAGTAAAAACCAGAGACTTACAGTTGTTGCGTCGGGCGGCCGCGCGAAGGTCCAAACATGTTGGCGAGTTTGTCTTCTCGTTGCGCTCGTCGTTCTGTGAGGGAGGCAAACAGCTGTTCTGATGTCAGGATGCCGCACTACGTGCAGTAGGATTGGCTCGTGTTTGACTGCGGAGGTTTTAGATAGAAGAGAGGATGCCTCAGCACATTGGTGGGTTGGCAATTTCGGATTGGGGCTATGTCTGCTTCGCGGCCTTCGGGGTGAACGGCAGCTGAAACACTTCTAGCTAGCTAGAGGCGGGCCGGGCCGTCTTACCTCGTTGCGGCGAAAAACGAAATACGTTTTGAGTTATATTTCAAACGCCATAAACGGACCTGAGCAACTGTACAGTATCCAAGGGTACATCAACACATCGGCGGCATTGGTCACACGCCGGTTCGCTTTCCGTAGTCCGTTCACTTGGACACACAGTCGCACTCAGCGTCAAATTCCCGCTCTTTCGCCGAGATCATGAACTTCTTTACCGAGTCTGTCGACGCCGCTCTCTGGAGCTCACGCACCTTCGACGACCCCTCCTACGACGACGACCCGACGGCCGCCGCCGAATCGCGCGCCCCCGTCTCTGTCGAGCAGCACGTCGACCAACTGGCCCCGCCCCATCTGATCATCTCCGCCAGCAGCGCTGCGGACGCCGCACTGGAGGCCATCTGCCCTGCCAGTACGCGGACCCCCCTCGCGACCCTCTCCGGAGCCGGCGTCTCTCCGCGCACAATCCATCTAAGCACGGGTGGTCCTCTGGACGGCTGTGCTGTCCTGCGCGCAACCGGCGTGTCGGACGATCGGGCCGCGAACTGGGCGAGCATGGCGCTGAAAGCCGTAGGCAACCCGAAGATCGTGGTGGCAACTAGCACACCGCGGGCTCAAATGCACGGCCAAAACGAGGTCGGCGTGCGCGTACTAGCGACGCGCCCGGTGGAGATGGAGGGCTTGAGTGCACTATTGGAGCCCAACTTTGTGGCTGGGGCGGCGGCGGCAGTGGTGGCGGAGGCGACGTGGGGAGATGGGGAGGCTGTTTGTTTGGTGGGCGTGACGGAACGTGCAAACTTCGAGCTCGATGAAGTGTTGGCGCTCGCCAACGCGACGTGCCAAGCAGTGAGCACGCTCGGGGGGAGCGCGGTGATGAGCGACGAGGTGCGGGAACGCGCGCGAAAGGTGGCGAAGAAATCGGCCGTCCTCGCTCATGACTCGATCTACCTCTGACACGAACAACCTCTCTACGCGACACTATTTATACAACATAAACGCAACTACACGTCAACTGCACGGCACTATGCTACCTCTTCAACGCATCCCTAGACCAAATCTTCTCATCTAACTTCTCCTTGGCCCTAACGTATTCTTCGACAACGCTGAGCATCCTCTCCCCACCCGCCCTATATTCCCTCAACTTTCTCTCCCCCTCCTCAATCCTCCGCTCCACCTTCTCCAGCCTCCTCTCCACCTCGGCCGCCACCTTTTTCAGGGCGGCCACCGCGTCCTCCGTATACACCATCGCCGCAATCTCCGCGCGCTGCAGCTTGAGCTTGGCCGTGGTGGCCTTCCCGCGGGCCACGAGCATGTCCACGCGGGCCACGTCTGCGTTTGCCGGACGATAGCGCTCCTCCAAGTCAGTCTCTGTCGCGTCCAATGCGGCGGACATGGCACAGACGTACATTTCCACTGCGACGCGCCTCGTATCAGCAATGGCGACATCCAGGTCTCTAGTCTCCGCTCTCTGAAGGTCCCTCTCCTGACGCACGTTTCTGATGGCGTCGGGCAGGCGGGCGGCGTCCTCGACGGCGAAACGCGGCGGGGCCATGGTGTTCCAGGCGTCGATCAGAGCGCAGGCCAGCTCGGAGGCGGTCTGGGCAAGGGCGATGCTCGCGTCCTCGCGCAGGTGGGGCGGGATGTGCGGCGGAGGGGCGGCGAAGCGGAGGTTGGGCGGGAGGCGCAGCTGGGCGAGGAGCTGGGCGACGGTGGCGCGCAAGGGGCGCAGCGAGCGGGTGTGGCTCGCGGCGGAGGGGAGGAGCAGCAAGGGGACGAGGGCACGGTAGAGGGAGAGGCGGGCGGTGGCATGCTGGTGGGATGCGTCGGAGAGGGCGGTGGTGTTGGACGGGGTTAGATGGGTGTCAAGGAGCCCGTGGTGTTGCAGGTGCAGGAGGGCCGTGTGTAGATCGGAGCGGGCGAGGGCGGTGGAGAAGGCGGTTAAGGGCGCGGGCATCCTGCGAGATGGCGGTGAAGGGTTGGTGCGGGGGACGGGAGGAGTTGGGGAGAGAGGAGGGAAGGTTGGGGAGCGGCATGGCAGGGGAGGGAAGTTTGGCGGGAAAATTGAATTTAAAGTGTGAGTTTGGAGGGAAAGGGGCCATTTGAAAAGCCATAGTTTGTACAGTAGTCAGCGGAATGAAGAGAATCAAGCCGATGACACTTGGCCGAATATGGAAGGTTGATTTGCAAATTAACCTACTATCCAGATTCGCATTTATACTGTAGCTCCCTTTAAAAAGGGAGCTACAAATGAGAATCTGGATTGAGTTGCTTTGCAAACTGCGATCGGGATTTTGGATTCGGATCCCGATTCCGATATGCAAGCGCCCCCGGGAGCAGATCTCACGAGATTGTCGTGGTTGGTGACCCCTTTGCCAGACCCTGCACGCATGCGATGTGTGAGGCCGAAACACTCTCTCCGCTCCTCCAACACTCCCCGTATCACACAACCCCCCAATTCCTAGGGTTTCCCTTCTTCCTTATCCCATCCCCGCTCGCCCGACCTGCTACCTGCCATCCCGGCCACATTCTTCCCCATCCCCCCCACTCCCCAGCCCCCACCAGACGCGACCACCATGACCGTCGCCTTCACCGCCTCACTCCCGCTCGCCACGCGCCCGCCCCTCCCCGGCGCGGCGGCCGTCACCCCTCTCGCGCCCCCCGCGCGCCCGACGCTCACAATGACCACGCCGGTCATCACGAAAGCGGCCGACAAATTCATGCACGCCTCGCAGACGTGCGAGGCCAAGCAAGCCGCGACGCCGTTCGGCGAGTACACGCCGCAGTGCACGGAGGGCACGGGCGGGTCGAACGTCGCCGAGACGACGCGCCTGGCCTCGCTGGCCGCGGCCTTCCGCCTGCGCCAGGCGTCGGCGTCGGCGCGCTACGCAGACCTGTACGCGACGCGGCGCGCGGCCATCATCTCGGCCGCGGGGTCGCACGCGCTCGAGCGGTACGCGGTCACGTTCCCGGCGCGCGCCGCGGCCGGCGTGCGCGGCCGCGCCGAGCGCATGCGCGCTTGCGCGCGCTACTTTGAGCGCGAGGACGACCCCGTCGCCGACTACATGTTCGAGTGCGTCGACAGGCAGTACAAGAGCGACAAGGTGGCCGGCGGCGTGTACGGCACGGCGTGCATGGACGGGCGCGTCCGGGGTGAGGCGGACAACAGGCGCGTGGCCGCGCTCGCGACCGAGTATCGGGCCGGTATGATGGGGGTGGGCGAGAAGGCGCAGATGCGGTACAACGCGTCGCTGGAGGCCGTGTATAGTGGGAGGGGGTGCGACTATGAGGAGCGGGCGTACGTGCAGTTTCCGAAGATGGCGAGCGCGATCCGGTGGGGGAACGGGGCGTACGCTGCCGGGGTGCTGGGCGTGGATGGGGTGATGGGAGGGAAGCTGTCCGTGACTGAGCAGATCCAGGGTGAGAACCTGGACTCGTATTGGCCGTCGAATGAGATTAGGCCCGCGATTGCGAGGAAGAGCAAGCCGTGGATGCCTAGCCCGCTTAAGGAATACGCAGCCATGAGCGTGGCCGCGACCGAGTACGGCGTCAAGGCGCAGACTGACCCGTTCGTGGAAAGCGGGTATGAGGGCTGGGCGCCCGGGTGGCAGCCACAAAGCTCGCTCGGTTTCTAGGTCGTGGCGGTTGCAGGTGGGGGATAATAGTCTTTTTTGAATGTTTGTTTTTTAAAGAGGGCGATAGATAGCCCCTTTTGTTGATCTCTCAGCGGAAGCCGTGCGCTGTGGTCGACGTTTGTAGGAACTGTACGGCACTGCATGGCACGGCGGGTTGGCTACAGTATCTCATGAAACTCGCCTCCAAACGCACGTACTGTAGGGTACACGGTCCGCTTTCCGGTGCGCTTTTGCTGGTGTGCAATTCGATGCGGGACCTCCAGTTCAGTATCCAATGCAGTTCCGTATGGGCTCCGAAGGACGGGGCTCCGAAGGACGAGGCTTCGAAGGGCGAGGCTTCGAAGGGCGAGGCTTCGAAGGGCGAGGCTTCGAAGGGCGAGGTTGACTTGGCCATAATCCTGCGCGATCGCAGAGAAACCCTTTGCGAAACCTAACGCCCGTGCGATATTCACCATCGACCCTCCGTTGAAAGTTAGATAAATAAATGATGGGCTCACGGCCCCCATCTGGAAACTTCTGTACTGTAAGACAAAGTGCCACTCTCCAGCCGTCATCATCGGAATCCACGCCCCCAAACGTAGTCGTTCTGTAAGACTCTGTTACACTTCGGTGCAGCGCGGATCTGCGAACTGTACGTGACCCCCCCGCGAGATCACCACCGCCCGCCCGTCCACCCGTCCGCGCATCGCCCTGCGATTGGCCCGCCAAACCCTCCCATTCGCCCACGCCGACCTGTCAACCGCCAATTTCCGCCAAGTGTTTCCCTCCCGCCCATCCCACCGGCCTTGCTATCATCCCAGCCTTGCACCGCGAGCCCAACAATTCTACCCCCCGATTTAATTCCCGTCGCCATTCCCATTCCGCCCCGCCCTCATCTCCCCTTACCCAACCCCTGCCCTTAACCCGTCGCTCCCCCCCCACGCCCTCCCCCCAACCCCGCACCGCCCCCCTGCAATGCCCCTCGCAATGCCCCTTGCAATGACGTCCCCAGCCTTCACCGCCGCCCCCGCCCTCGCGCCGCACGCCCCGCTCGCCACCGCCTCGGACCCTCTGCACG